TAATGTTGTTATCAACATTAATACATTATGCTAATTTTCATCTTTGTAAGCGCATAAGACAGTGCGAATTATTTCTGTGACAGCCTTTTGAAGTGTGTAAAGCTCCATTTTATCCCATACATAGTTAAAATATTGGGGGGATGATACAATTATGGACCATCCCCCTTGTCAAATATTGGGGGGGGGGGGATATATCCCCCATCCCCCGGGATCTACGCCTATGGACATTGCCCAAGCCTGTATAGACATAGGTGAGCAAATACAATACAGTAGGGCCTACTGCAGTAGATTAATAGGACTGGCTTCCCCGAAAATCCTTATGACAGCAGCCAACAGAACAGATGGAGAAACTTGTCGGCTTCTTCGGTCCTCATTTCCTCCTCCCCTCCACCCGTGACCACTACCCGCCGACCAGAACTCCCTGCGCCGACGACTGCACAGTTGAGGGACTGAGCGGTATGAGGTATAGCGCCCTTAATCAATCTACTTATTTAGTGTTTGGGAATTCCCCGGCCTGCGAATTTACCTGTGGAAATTCCAAAAAGGGGAGTAGTAGAATTACTAGGCCTATTCGGAATTTATCAGCGTTTATTATTCTGGACATGAGTCATGTTGCATCAACAACTAATATGCCTGTGCTAGCGATTTAAATTCTCTTATATAAAGTAGGCCTAGACCTATGTAACATTTTCAGCAAGGTTAAAAAAGGACCACTCCTGCAACTGCATATTAGTCATCCACCTAAAATTTTCACATCGGCCTAGCCTATACCAGCAGATTTGGTTTGGAGTGGAAAGAACCACTGTGACTCTGTCATGGCCTCTAAAAAGAAAGGAATGGCAAAACTTGCTGCCGTATTTCCTGTTATAGAAGACGACCAACCTACACCGTCGGAGGACGCTATTTTGCGTGCGGTGATGAATGTTGTATGCTCTGTCACCATACCAATTTCAATAGAGGATATTGTCTGGCGTGTGCGCCAAAGGGGAATCAAAACGACTGCTTCTTCTCTAAAGCATTTACTAATCAACTACCCTGACCTTGTTGAAGTCACCTGCACCGCTGAGGGAACAACTTGTACCATAGTGTTAGATGATGTTGAACTGTGCACACAGAAGTACAACACGAAAAAACAAAAATGCAGCGATGGTTTTGACTGTACTGACCTTCACCTCTGCAAATACTTTATATCTGGTAGGCCTAATATAAAGCATATCTACCTAGGCTATATACAGAAGAATGCTCCAATAAGCGCCTCTCTTTCACTGAGCGCAGCAACTGAAACCTCCAAATGTTTAAATAAGCGCTGCAGTGTTTATTGGAACATTACGGTATTTAATTTTATATTTGCGATATTTGGATGCCTATCATTTATGGTTGTGTGTGTTG